ACACTATGCTGGGGGGGAAACAGTCATTGTAAAACAGTTCTCGGGGACTATTTTTTGCCAGAATGTGATTAATCAAGCATATTTTCAGAGCAATCTTGTAGCCAGTTTCTAGTTAAAGGTAGACTGGTTAGCAAAATATATCCGACATGGGTTTCTGCATCAGATACACCTGTGTTACCAGATCACTGACAGATGTCCTCATTCTATAATGGAAAAAAGTGAGTTCAATTTTGGTGTTTGGGATCAGGAGCATATTAAATGATAAATATGGTGTGCTTGAAAACTGGATTTGAAACTCTCAGGGTGAAGGGAATAGTACTAGCACTAACAAGTATAAGGAACTGTGCAACCATGATGCAAAAATCTAGAATGAAGGGCACTGTAGTATAGTGGCTAGCATTTGGGGCTGGGCAGTCTCAGGGTCAGGTACCCACATGAAGCTAAGTGACTTTGCACCTCAGTCGACCACCACCTAACCTACCTCACAGAGTTATTGTGAGGATGAAATGGAGAAGGGGCTGCTTGGAAGAAATGAATGAAGAAATGAACATGCTCTTTTTTCTTTAACAGATTTTCCACCTAATGTCAAAAAGTAAAAAGCAGGAGGACAGTGGAAATTGTCATTATGTTAACCCCCCCCCCCCAAATGAGGTAGGGTGATGCTCTGAGAAGTTTCATCTGGTATTTATCTACTGGATTTTTATCCTGCCAGATTAGCCAGCCTGCACTATGGGTACAAAACCATTTTTCAGCCAAGGGTTGCCTATACTGGGATTAATCCACTGAGGGCCACATGGGTGGGACCAAATCCAGCAGTGGGGCAATACCAAGCCAAATGTAAATGGGGCTCTGCCTTTTGCTCCTCCTTCTGCCAGCTCCCCCCTCTCTCTCACACACAGGGCTGATCAACTCATAGCAACCATCAAGAGTATAGACAAAGTATATGATGTTACTATTTTGGCACTGAATTGCAGATTGTTGTTTTGAGTTTTGAACTATGGTTTAATTCTGGATTGTTAACCACATGAAATTCAAAGAACCCATGTTCCAGAAAAAAATTGCTTTTTTCTGGCACACAGTTAAGACAGCCATTTATGCTGAGGCCTTTAAAAGATTTCCCAGGGAACTGAGGTTATTATCCAGATTATTTTGTTTTCTTTGCAGGGCCATTTTACTGTGTGTTTTCATCTATTTTAAATTCATTGTAATATTTTGTTTTTATGATATTTGTATTATATTTTATAGTTTTGTGCTGTTTTTGTACCATGCAGAGTGCTTCCTCATGGGATGCTATAGAAATAAATAAGTTTGTTGTGTTATGAACTCTGAGTTGTTTATCACTAATAATCTATAGTGTAAGATGTGTACATAACCCACAATTCAATAACAACCCATATTCAACCTCTTTTCTGAATTGTCATTACATACCAACCAGATCACAGTTTGCCTAACAAGTTACCAAGGAAGGACAAATGATTCTTGCCAGAGGCCTGAACTAACTGCTTGCAGAAAGCTTTTAAAATTAAGTCAAGGGCCACATGAAGTCAGACTTGTGACTGCAGGTTGCATATTCCTGTCCTAGGATATCAATTGCCTAACATTTGTAGACCTGGAAAAGGTAGAGAGAGGGTGACCCAAATTATTAGGCAAATTGAACATATATTTATAGAGAATCCTAAAACTGGGTGTTTTAGTCGGGGTGGGGGGAGAATAACTGAAGGGGAAAAGGTTGAGAAGTATCTCTTAACACTACACTGCTGTTCTAAGCAGTGTAACTGATTGGCAGATTTAAATATTTATAGAAATACAGCCTGCTGCATGAGTTTTTAAGCAAATGATTTTATTAAACTAACAAGATTGTTTAAACACTGGCAGTTGCATTAAGTGCATTAGCACTTGCATTTAATACAAAGTAGTTGCAATAATATACTCGGATTTGTAAATGGAATGATTAATTGCTAAAATGAATTAGATATAGTATTTAATCACCACTACCAGCTCCCAAGAATAATCCAAAAATATATTCAGGATGTTTCCTTGAGGCTTTGACCATAATGCAAGGTTAAAATACTACAAATAAATGGATGCAGCTTGCTTTGTAACATCTACTTCTATTACTGATGCATGTGCCAACATTGGTATTAGTCCCTAGTTCTGTAAAACCCTCATTATTTTTGTACCTTGTTCCATTTTAAGTTACCTAATTCTAATGATATAGCACATCACACTTTTGGCTCAGTTTACTCCATGTAATAGATGGCAAAAGAAGAAGGGGACGGCAGAGGATGAGGTGGCTAGATGGAGTCACTGAGGCAGTTGGTGTGAGCTTAGGTGGACTCCGGGAGAAGGCGGAGGACAGGAAGGCCTGGAGGAGTGTTGTCCATGGGGTCGCGATGGGTCAGACAAGACTTCGCGACTAACAACAACAACTCCATGTAAATTGCAGCAGGGTAGTTTCTCATCTTCTATTTCTCCTTTTCATCACCATCAGGTAAGGCTGTGGTGTGCTAAACTGGTGTCTGGCTGTGACAGTGGACTATATGAGAGCTAACAAACTGAAGCCTGGTCCAGGCAAGACTGGGATGCTGTTGGTGGGTGGTTCATTCTCTTCTAGATGGTGTTGCACTATCCCTAAAGGCGCATGTCCGTAGCTGCTCCTCGATCCACCTCTGTCTCTTGTGGCTTAGATGGCATTAGTGGCTCAGAGTGCCTTCTACCAGCTTCGGCTGGTGGCCAAGCTACACTCCTATCTGGATAAGGATGGCTAGTTTCTGTAATCTACACTAAGGTAACCCCTAAATAGATTACTGCAATGCATTTTATGTGGGACTGACCTTGAATATGCTTTAGATGCTGCACCACATGCTGACTGCAGCATCCAGATTAATGGCCAGAAATATACATCTAAACAAATAAAACCTTCTCGAACCTACTTGCATTGGCTGCCTATGCGCTTCCAGGTCCAGATCAAGTTTTTGGTTTTAACCTATAAAGCCTTATTGGAATCACAATACCTGTTGGAGTGCCTCTCCAAGGCACAAATTACCTGGACACTATGCTTAATCTCTGGGGCCTTCAAGCGCCAACTACAGAAGCAACTGGGAGAGTGGCAACACTTTACTATGGTAACCGTCCATCTATGGAACAATCTCCCCACTGTGGCCAACCTGGCGCCAACTTTGTCATCTTTTCTGAGACAGATCAAGCCACCCTTTTATGCTGAGGCTTTTAAAGATTTACTTGGCTACCCAGGGGCTGACCCCAGATGTTTTCTTTTACAGGGTCATTCTTTGTGGTATATTTTAGCTGCTTTAATTTTTTCAATGTTTCTCTGATTTTATGGTATTTGTATTGTATTTTAGTGTCTTGTTTTTATGAATTCTTGTAAACTACCCAGCAAATTTTGGCTATGGGGTAGTATAGACATGAAATACATAAGGGAGCTTTATGGCTAATGGGTCAGAATGAAAGTCCAATAAATAATTCCAGATTGGATTGCTTTGAATTTCATTTTAAAGACACGTTCTGATCTGAAGAAATACAATCTTGCCAATACTGAATTTATAATGTACCATGAAAGGTCACACTAGTCAATATATAAGTGATTGTAAAGATATGCATGCAGTCATCATCCTATGAAACTGGAATTAAAGTATGCACTATCTATTCAATGCAAATTTCTCAAAGATATTTGAAAAGCCTATTCACTAACCATTATTCCCTGGCACCATGAGAACTAATACTACTTATTTGCAAAAATTGGCTGCATAATCAAACGGTAAAGACTAACAGTCACATCTAAAATAATGCGTAACAAAAAGAGGCAAGAAAAAGAATTTCATTGAAAGGAGTGTTTCTTTTTTCCACACTGATAGTGTGCTTTGGAAGAACCAGACCTATTAGGAATAAAGAAACAGTTGCAAAAAGGAATCTGTTTCTCCAAAAGGTGAAAAAGATTTAAACACCTAATTCCTGCACCCTGTCATAAAATTTATATGGCATATAACAACATGTTAAATTCTATCTTCCAGCTATGAAGATGAAACATGAGGCACCATGACAATGAGGTAGGCTTTTCTGTACTGTTGGGATGAATTCCCTTTACACGCTAAACAAGTGTACTTTAAACTACAACAACAGGAGGAAAGAGGATACTACTTTATCCAGAGAAAAATGAGAAACCAGTTCCTTTGTTTAGTTATAAAAAACCTAAAAGAACATTAATATTTCAATTTTCTATGCCAATTATTCAAGCCATAAGCTACAGAGTCCACTATATTGGGGGACTTACTCCTGTGTAAGTCTGCACTTATGCAAACTTAAGTTAAAGTAAATCCTGTTGGGTTCAACAGGATTTACTTCTGAATAAACATCAACAGCATTACTCTGCACAACTGCAATACTATCCTCATTTATTTGAAAGTAAGCCCTGTTGACCTTAGAGGGACAGTGGAGTGATGCACATAGCTTTGTCCTGCATATGTAGCATTTTCTGCAATCACAGAGCCTATCCTTGTTAAAATAGAGTTTCAACATCAATCAACATTATGTAGCATGCTTATTACAAATGTACCCCAAATAAATATAGTTTTGCTGCGATTCATTGTTGGATTTTGCTACCAATGTAATGTTCTGATGATTCCTAAAGGTTGCATTGCAACCCTTTGGAAGGGTTAGATTGTAAGCTTTGAAGCGAGCTTTACCGTATGCTGTAAGCACCTCTTGATGCTTGCTGAGCATAAATACAGGGGAAGCTATTATTCATTACTTTTTAAATCCCAGTTTACCTGTCAAGCACCTTGGCCTTGGTAAACCACAGGACTAAGAGGGTTAAACTAGGGGGTGTGTCTGTATTCAAATGATGCGGGGAAGGGTCAGAAGAGCCAATGAAACTACAAGCTATACTTAGCCCTGGGAAGATAAGCTGTAGAGACAATTCTAGCAAAGCTTTTATGGATGACACATGCACTTTGTCCTTAGCCACCAGGTTATTTGAGCACAGGCAAGACATTAAAATAGGTACTGCAGCTTACCTGAAGTTCGCACCAAGCCACTTCAACCCAAGTTTCCGTATCTAGCCCCTTATAGACGGTTTTGAAAGAACCTCTTCCAAGTTCAATATCAAACTTTAGAAACCTGCCGTCAGGGGAGGTAGCCACGGCTTTCATATCGGCCTCTTCCTCCTCTTCCTCGGCCTCCTCTTTCTTGGGCTTGCTCTGATCCTTGGGAAATTCGGGCGCCTCTTTTTTCTCGGCATCCTCCTTGCCGCTACCCTCCTTCGGCTCGTCCCCGGCTGTCGAGAGGCCCTCGGGGGCCTCCCCCTTCGCCTGGGCGGCGGGCTCTCCCTGGAGCCGCGTCTCTTCCACCAGCGGCCTCTGCCCTGCCTTCGCCCGTTCTGCAATTATCCTCCTGGTCTTGGAGAAGAGAATGATCTTCTTCTGCTGCGCCGGCAGCTCCGGCTCCGCGGGCTCGAAGGTGGGCTCTTCCTGGTCGGAATCCACCACACTCCTCCGCAGGAAGCGCAGGTGGGCGGTTTTGGGATCCTTGGCGTAAGGCACACGGGGGAAGGGGGCGGGCGCCGCGGCCCTGCCTCCCTTCGCCATTGCAGCAGGGTCTGTGCCGGCCACGCTGCCTGCCCCATCAATATTCATCCCCTTCCTGCCCGCAGGAGCAACAGCAGTCGCCGCGGGAGGGGCGGCAGATCCTGCAGCACGAGCAGCTGAAAACTCGCCGACGCCGCCTGCCTCCAGCGGAGGTGCCGTCCTGGCATCGCCCCCAGTTTCCATTACAGCCGGGCGTGCAGCTGCTGCGTCCGCCGCCGCGGGAGAGAGTGGTCGCGGTGCCGCCCGAGGCACTGTCCCCGCTTGGTGGGAGTCATCACGGTGCATCCTTGCGCAGGAAGTGAGCAGAGCCACCTGCGGGGCAAAATACAGGGGAAAGAAAAGAAAAGCAGAATCGCTAGGGATGCTGCTCCACGAACTCCACCTGGCGAGACACTGGGGGCGGAGACCACCTGCCGGAGGGCTCCCCCGCCCCACACACGCACCAAGCTGAGCAAGACAGCCCAGAGATGGGCTGGATCGCTCCCGATCTCCCACGAGCTCCCTTTCAGCATTCCTCCTCTCTGCCGCTACGGGGGAAAGGGGAGGCGGAGGATCCTTTAAAAAGCCCCTGTTCCTTCCCCAGTGATTTAAGAAGGAATCTCTTCCAGGGAAGTGAAGCGCCGTTTCCAAATGCACGTCCCTCCTCGGAGGAGACGAACAGGACAACTCCGATTAATTCGCCCCGCCGCCTTTCACCCTTCTTCCAATTTCGGCATCCCCCAACCCTGCCCAGTCCCTTCCAGCCAGAAACCAATTGGACAAGCTTCCCCCGCGCCCCGATACAGGCTCACGTGCCTTTAAAGAGCCGGGCGTCTTCTCTCCCCCCACCGCATCCCCGCCCCCCTGCGCGCGCGCTCGGCAGCCTCCCTCCTCAGCCAAGTCCCCTTTTTATATGGACGACGGACGCCTCTCCCCCCTCTGTCGCCGCCACTCGCGCACCAGCCTGCTCGGCGAGGGAGCGCCCCGCAGACCGGCTCACGCGCTCCGTCCTCCTCAGCCCACTTCCAGCGAGCGCCCAGGGCTGCCGTCTCCCCCGCCCCCTTTGCCCACTTCAGCCATACTGCAGCTCCTCAATGGAAAGCCATGTTGAGGCTGCGAGACCGGCAGGGAGGCAGGTCGCGGGCGCGGCGCGGCGAGGCACCGTGGATGGAGCCTGGACCAGGCACGTCCCCCACCCCTCGGCTCTGTGCATGAGAGACAGGCGCGGGGGCGGGAGCAAATCACTGTGAATGTCCCCACCTCGGCGAGCCTTTCCCCCGTGCCGAAAGCCCCCACTTAGACCGCAGCCTGCAACGCAGGCAGGGCACGCCACCATCGAGGAGTCCGCAGCCCAGCCCCGCTGCCGGCGGAGGCGAGCGCTGCTGCTGCTGCTGCTGCTGCGTCCTTCGTGGAACCGGGGAGGGAGGGAGCAGGCGGCGGCCGCAAAGTGCCCCGGAGCCTTCGTCAAGCGCTCCCCACGCAACAGCCTCAAGGTGGCGGCTCGTGTAAGCGAGCGAGCGAGCGAGCGAGCAACAGCAGCCGGTCCAGGTGCTTCAGCACAACACAATGGGGCGAGCGGCTCACCTGCAGCCTGGGCGAAGCAGCAGCAGCCCCCCCCCCCCCGCCCTTGACAGTTACTTACGCGGAGGAGCGGGGCCACCCATATTCAGAGCCGCCGGCGGAGGTTGGGGGCGGGCGGGTGGCAGAGCAGCGGGTCGGCTCGTCCGTCTCCTGTCATGGGGCCCCTCCCCCACCCTACAGGCCCGGGCTCTGCGGCGGCAGCAGTGGCGGCAGCCTCTCCCGGTCCACCTCAGCGGCGACGCAGCCTCGTCCTTTCAGCGCTGGTCGGCGGGGCTCCTCAGCGGCGGCAGCGCCTGCACCGCGCGGCTCTCTCGGCGTCCACGCGTTGCCTCTCGGCCAGAGCAGGAAGCCGCGGACCGGTGCGAGGGCGCAGCGAAGGGAATAATCCACCTCCAGCAGAGAGCGCGCTCCTCGCCGCCGCCCGCTCCCCTGCAGGCGGGCGGGCAGCGTGCCGGGAGCTTCAGCAGCCCACGCTTCCCCCGCCACCCTCGAGCTCGTCCTTCTCTCGCCCCCTCCCAAGCGAGCTGCCGCTTTCTCCCGCTCCCCCTTCGACGCCTCGCTCAATGGGAACCGCTCTCTAATGACCGTCCCATTTAACAGACGGGCCAGGAGCCCTGGGCATCGCGAAGCAGCCAATGAGTGGGCTCGAAGAGGTGGCCCCCTGCTGGACCCGCCCCGCGTCACCGGGGAACGGGGGAGTGCGGGTTCCCCGGCTCAGTTGCTAGGCGCGCGTGTCCCCCGCCTCCTCGCCCTCCCTCTGCAGGCGGGGTGGGTGTGTTGGAGCCGCACAATGGGCTCGCCTGGCTTCGCTTCCAGTTTCCCAATGTGACTGTGATAAGCGCATGCCAAAGGTTTGCGCATGCCCTCTCCTCGAGCCGCAGCCCATGCCCTCCCGTGGCTCAGGCTAGGGGGTGACGTGGGTACCGTGGGGTGGGCGCCTGCGCCGCGGAGAGGCAGCGGGGGGCGAAGGATGCGCCCGCGGTCCTGGAGCGGACTGCCGAAGCGTCCCGGCACGGAAAGGGGTGGGGGAGGTTGGATGCACGGAGTTATCCCTCCGGTAGGAAAGCATCGGGCGCTCGGGCGTGGGAGTAGGCTGGAAATGGGGGCAGAATCAAGAAAATCTGTTTGTTTGTTTGTTTGGATTTGATTTTATTTTTGCTCTTCCTGGAGGCGGCAGTGACTGTTTCCACTGTCTGATGCAAGCCAGCACCTGCTTTCCTCCAGGGACTCGGTTAAGCACAGCCTTCTTAGAGTTTTCTTGATGAGACCATTTTTCTTCCTAACAATACTTCAGAACCACCTGCAGCAGCAGCAAACCTTCTTCTTACTACTATTCTTGTTGTTCTTATCACCTTTATTTCTTAATTTGAAGGGCAAGGGCACAACCCAATTCTACAGGGGTACTCCTTGGAGAGAGGGAAGGACATTTCCAGATCTGGCTGTGTTCTCACCTCTCTAGGGAGATGTACCTTTTCATCAGTCCCTGGGGGTTACAGTTGACAAATGTGAGCAAAGGGAGGCTTCCTTCTCACAGTCCTGACAGTAAAGCTGGATTCCTGTCTGCACATACCTGTCACTGAGCTCCATTAAACTCAGTGGACTTCTCAGTAGACGGGCATAAAATTGCACTGTTGCTCTTGCATGGAATAATAATGTGCTCATTTCAAGCCTGATGTTTATGGGAGCTGAGGGTTGGTTGGATGGTTTTGGCCCCTTTTTTTTACACCAATGCTACAGATTAAGTCAGGGTAACTCAGAATCAGGGAAACCGAACAGTACTTTTGAACGGTTCTGTTTATGCTAAGATGATTGCTCTGGAGCAGCCTTCCCCAGGCCCCCAATGTTTTGGACTACAGCACTTAATGCACCTGCCAGCACAGCCAGTGGTTGGGAAGGCTGGGAGTTGTATTCTGTATAATCTAGTTTGGTATCAGGCTGGAGATGGCGACTCTAATTTGTGATTAGAAGGTGGAATGTGGAATGTACAGTAGACACATTCCAGAGTGAGCCACCTTTCCAGCTGGTGGTCTGCCACAGCTGGGAAAGTCTTGTTCAAATCATCATTCACTCTTAGGATAGTTGTTATAAAAAGTCACCTCCCGTTCTCATTTCTCCCTCTGCATAATAGAAAACTGCCTTCCTTGCCCCATTGTATTAAAAGTCAGTCACCACATGCCCAGACTTTTAGCAATATCCATCTAAATGAAATAGTCCACTAAAGGGAACCAGTCCTCTAAACACAATCATTCCTATCTGTTCCTTTAATTGTGATTGTATAGCACTCAAGGGGTCACCTGGTTAGCAGAGGATATGATATGCATTTGATTTCATTTAAAGTAATAGTAAAAAGAAAATCCATGCCAATCTAGTTAAGGTTAGGGGTGAAACAGAACAGTTCCCAGGTAGGGGTGGGGAGAGGAACACACCTGGTTCCTGCTGTGCCATGGCAATGAAGATTTTCATTCCCAGTGAAACAGAAAATGAAAGGTAACAATGAGCTGAGCGTGTTTTCTGAAAATGAAGGCAGCCATGACCAAGGCAACCACGGGGAAGTAAATAAATACAAAATTAAAAACTAAAGGAAAAGAAAGACTTGAAATGAAATCAAACAGATAGCTATTTTAAACTCCATGACAATTTTGGTGATTTCATGTGTAACAGACACTAATCATAACTTGTAAAATAATAGCCACTTGCAGCATCTAAGGGAAAAAACACTACCAAAAATGGACAATGGATTGAATTACACAAATGTATTGAATAGCATGGGTTACCCTATAAGTTGTGACAGCTTGTTACTCTGTATTGCCATGTTTCTTTGCAGGATGCAGTGGGGGAAAGAGCAACTTGTACATTATGGGCAGAGAGGTTTAGAAAATCTGTGTCTACATGGACACAGGATCCACACAGAATGACAGCCAAGACGCACTGGGGACCCATGTGGGGCTGGAACAGAACAGAGGGAGAGAGGTGTGATTTGTGCGAGAGGTATTGTTTTCCTACCAGTGAAAGCTGCTGTAGAGGCTGCCCCACACTAGCAGTGTGGCTAGGGCTGAGCCTTACGGCCAGAGTCCCGAGCTTCACAGCCCAGGATGTCTGGAAAGACCAGAGGGCAGCATGTGATGAGGTCATCAGGATGGCAGCAGCAGCTCCATTTTTTGCCTGAAGCCATAGGATATGTTTAGCAGATTAAACATGCATAAGATCGCACCCTTAACCAAACATGTTGTACAGCTCCCAGCAAGACAGTTTTAAAGGGAAATGAAATCCTCCAGCTTTTAGGGAATAATTTCACATTATTTTCTTTTTTCAGTAGGAGGAGAAATTCCCTAAGCATTTCTCACAGGTAGGGCTTACCATGGGCAGAGCTTGCAATACACCATCTTGCTTTTTTGTAAAGGTTTTGCGCTGCCACTGGAAGCAGTAACAGCAACAACTGTGTTGGTGGGCTGAGTCTCATTTTTTGGATGGAGGGGGCTTTTGTGCCCAGCTTTCAGGGAAAGGTGGAGCTAGTGTTGTGACAAAATCTGTTCTTTGAATTCCTGGAGGTTCTTTGCTGCCTCCTCTTCCTAATAGTATTTAATTATTTCTATACCACCCCATAGCCAAAGCTCTTTGGAAAGTTTACAGCAATGTCTAAAACAAAACAAAACAAAACATAGTATAAAAACAGCAGTGTTAAAATCAATTGTAAATTAAATTTAAATAGCTAAAAACAAGTTTAAAAAGACCCTGCAAAG